GGGGCGTAGCTAGAGCCAAATTTCGGGGGGCCCCGAAAAATTTTGGCGACCTCCCCCCGGTCACCACTTTCAAAGATTCAAAAATCACCCAGCTTCTAACAAGCGCCGCAGGTCGCAAAAAATAAGGAAAAAGCGTTAGTAACGCTCGAATTCATGTAAAACATCACAGAAAACGCGCCGCAGGCAAAATTTTATATGGACAGTTGACACATAATGAAAAACAGCGCCGCAGTGACTAAAAAAATTTTGGAAAAATGACTTCAAGAAGTAAAAACCGTCTTAAAAACAATAATAAGACGCCGCCGTAAGTGAAAAATTTTATTAAGAAAAAATCATAAGGGTCCCCCCCTTTTTTGTGAGCCGATTGGGGGGACAACTTGCCCCTGTTGCCCCCCTCGTACGCCCGGGGCCGTGGTCGGGGCCGGGCCTTGGTCGGGGCCAGGGCCTGGGCCGGGGCCAGGGCCCTGGGCAGGGGCCAGGAGCCTGGCCAGGGCCAGGGCAGGGCCGGCAGGAGCCGGGGCCAGGGCAGGGCCGCTTGCCAGGAGTCCACATTCTTAGACTTGTCATTTTTTATTATGTTTCCAGCCGTTTCTTTTATGGAAACATCGAGAACATCGATAAAAATCAAAAAAAATTTCGAAAAAATAGCCATTTTTTTTCGGCCTTCGGCCGATTTCGGGGGGGGCACCGGGCCCAGGGGGCCCACCTTACGCTACGTCCCTGCATGTGCGCGTTGCGTTAGGAAGCAAGTGCTGAGGAGCACGAGCACACCCGGGAGGCGTTCAAAGTCTCGCGCTTTTGTTCAATTTCCCAGAAACCGCACCCATTATTTTCGGAAAAGAGTCGCTACCATTCCTTTAAAAGACTTACTTATATTTGCGTAATACCCGCAACTAGCAAGTTCGTGGCCGGAAGCGTTTCCGCTTCGGAGCATCAGATACGACGTGGGATAATTGACAATTCCGGTTGAGTTGAGGATCAAGCACTTTGATTCTGAAATTGACAAGAAGATGTTTAGGCTTAGGCTTAGGCTTAGGCTTAGGCTTAGGCTTAGGCTTAGGCTTAGGCTTAGGCTTAGGCTTAGGTTTAGGCTTAGGCTTTTAGGCTTAGGCTTACAAGGGGACGTTTTTTAGTGTGAATGGAGTTTTAGGTTGAAACCAGGCCTATTCTGTGCAGAATTTTGCGTTGATTCCGATGCTGTTTTCCAATTTTGCTAAATAGCTCGATTTAAAAAGTTACAGCTGTTTTAAGATAATTTTTAGGCCCAGAGCAGCCATATGCTATGCTGTGCTACTTTTTTGTTATAACGTTTTAATTTTTTTTAAGTAGCCTATCTTGTAGAGAATTTTTTTCTGATTCGAATGGTATATTTGATTAGTGCGCTACTGCCGATCGACGATGGCCTACGGGGGTGAGAAATAGGCTGTTTTTCACCATTTCCCATACAAAAATCGCAGCCCATACCAAGTATCGTCGATTTTTTCGATTTTCAACAATTTTGAGTTAAGTAGCTCATTCGATAGAGAAAATTTTTCTGAATACAGTGACGATATTTATTTTTGGAAAAACAGCCGGGAAAAGCAATATAATGGTCCCTAAAGTGGGGAAAATTTGGGCTAAAATGATCGTAAAATTGCTATAAGTTTTTAAATCGAGTTATTTAGCAGAAATGGAAAACATATTCGGAATCAGCGCAAAATTCTGCACAAAATAGGCCTGGTCTTGTCTCAAAACTCCATTCACACCAAAAAACGTCCCCTTGTTAGGCTTAGGCTTAGGCTTAGGCTTTGACTTGGGCTACGGCTCAGGCTCAGGCTTAGGCTTAGGCTTAGGCTTAGGCTTAGGCTTAGGCTTAGGCTTAGGCTTAGGCTTAGGCTTAGGCTTGGGCTTGAGCTTTGGCTCAGGCTTAGGCTGAGCCTAAACTTACCCAACAAGATAATCCCCACGCAATAACTGACAGCCACACATATCTCGATGCAATTGTCATCTCGTAGGGCTCAGAAGCGTCTCTCTGAATCAAGGAGTACAAGGCGTCGGAAGGATCCTGCGAATCCGCCGCCCATAGCAATAGTTGTAAAATGGCAATCAACGCCTTCGAGGTCATTTTATTGGTACTTATTCTTTGCAGAGAGGGCCTATAGATTGCCCCCGATTCCACGGCAATTCATCAGCACCAACACCGATAGCCATGACTACCGTAGTGTGGCGCTGCGCACACGTCTCCGTTCGATCAAAAATTCTATAGCCAGCTCCAGTGGTGTGGAATTTTGCCGGAAGCTATGACACAGGGTTCGGGAGGGGCGGTTTGTTAAACGGATCCGTAATAACGAAAAGTAAGGAATAGCGGAGAGCTTTTTCTACGACGTGAAAGTGGCTAGCAGCAATAATGAAATCCTTGACTTTCTCAGAAACCTTATGAAACATATTTTCAGGGCCGCGCGAACGCAGCCCCTGACTCAAAAATTTAGCTGTAGGCGAACCTCCAACTCGGAGCTGCCTTACAGGTCAGCCCGGTCGATAAGTGCAATGGCCAAGCCTCGCCATAGGGGTCCCGTCTTGATGATCACGGGAACCCCCCAGCCAGGTAAGTTTATGAAGGGGTGGAGCAGGGAAGGTATCCACGCGGAGTGGGCCAGGTGGGGGCCGAGTGGGAGGGCGGTGCGAGCGCAAGTACAATGTTAGGACATCTAATGCTAGGAAGACGAAGATCGTGAGCGACGAGAGCGAGAGAGAGAGAGAGCGCGTGAGCGAGAGATCAAGAGTGAAAGAGAGAGATAGAGAGAGAGAGAAACACAATAAGCCCAGTCAGTTTATTCCAAAGTCAATCACAACCACAAATTCACATCAGTAGAAATACGGTATGGCGATACGGTCGGCGGTTTCAAGGCGGACACCGGCGGTGTAACCGCTCGAGTCTGCAAATTTGAGCTCCGCGTAGAGCATCTTGTGGAAGTGCTTGCGTCCCGGGTTGTAGGGCGGCTGCACCGCATCACGTTTCTTGACCAAGATGTCACGTGAGCAGATGAGGTAGTCGATGTCCGTGTTACCCTGGAAAAGGGTGTTTTGCTCTTGGTTTCTGAAAAGAGAGAGAGAGAAAGAGAGCGAGAGAGATTGAGAGTCAGAGAGAGAGAGAGAGAGAGAGAGAGAGAGAGGAGAGAGGGAGGGAGGGGGGGGGGTAGAAGGCCCGTAGTTTCAGGCTGACCTACTTTAGAATGATAATTTGTATCCATTCCCGGCGGAAAAACGGGGATCATTCCGCTGATCCGGATCGTATCTTCAACCGCCGCCTTCTGGATATTGAAGTCCCCGGTGATGATCGTGTTAGGGCCATCTAAAATCAAATCTAGGTTCTTTCGCATTATCGGGGAGGGTGGGGGGGGGGTGAGCAACTTTTTTTAGATCTAATTTTTAAAATATAAATAAGGGTTTCTCAATGGTCTTTTACTATTCCTGAAAATGAAAATTTTACCAATTATTATTAATGAACATAAAAATATCGATTTTCGTCCAAATTCGCATTTTTCGCAAAATTTCGACTTTTTCAGAGTTTTTCTACAGTTTTTAGGTAGTTTTCGTATTGAAAATATAGTTAGAGATTACTGAAAACACTATCAAGACACCTTCTATTAATCCACGCAGCCAACGCGCTGCCAAACGCCTATAAAACCTACTGAACTCCCTACAGACGTCGCCCAGGTAGGCACGAACCGTCTTCTCGGGCTGACCGGGCCAAATGTAGATGAGCACGATGTGGCGTTGGACGCCATCGCGCGTGGCCGTCACGTGCAGCCCTTCGGCTGCTGAGGCCGATAATTTAGGCACTACCCTGTGGTGCTCACCTATCCGGGAAGTGAAATCGGGCCGTTTAGCTCGCACATCTGTCCAGCCCACGTCGTTGGGATAGAGGAAGGCGAGCCCGCCGCTGCGGCCGGTCTTTGATGTCAGTTTCGCGGGTGAGTAGCTGAACAGTAAAATTATCATGTCTTTATTATGTTGTTTGCTGCTTTCAGCTGATGGGTAGAGCATGTCCAGTTTGTTTTGTTCAGTTTTTTGGTAAAAAATGTACGAAAAATAACCAAAAAGAAGAAATGAAACAAAATTTTCGCATTTTCAAAATTTTAACAATGATTATGATGACTTACTTGCAATTGAAAACTACTAAAAGTGGTAACGAGTTAACTTTACCCCCGCATAGCCGAGGCGTCACAAAATTTTTGGGTACTTTAGCTATTTTTCCGGATTTTCTCAACCCCATTTGGTAGAGCGTCGAAAAATACACTAAGCTTTTTAATTTGAGCCTACAATACCGCAAAATAAAAAGTTATACCCAAAACGTTGCGCCTGGGGGCGGGGTAAAGTAAGCCGTAGCCTTAACACACGCTATGAAAATACATAATACCAATGGAAAAAGTACATAATACATCATCAACATGCAGGCATAGGTTCCTTCGCTAGAAATCCGCCTTCCCGCCGCTAATAGTCCAAAAACCATTGTCATGCCTCACTCATCCCACCCAGAAACAGAAAAAATCCGAAACGCTTACGTAGCCTTGTATCCCCAGCCTTCCAAAAACTTCTCGACTCGATACCATTTTTCCTGAATAAAATTCGATGCCGCCTCATTTCTAAGGACCCACTACAGTGCACCTCGTCTCGATCAGGCAGATGACGTCGGGGCGCTGTTGATCGATCAGCGGTTTGTAGAGATTATTCTGGAAAGAAGCGGAAATGAAAAAGTTTCAGCGGCAAAGCGATGTGTGGCGAAAAAACGCGATTCTGAAACCCCACCTTCAGTTGGGCCTGCAAGCCGCCCGAGTTGTGCATCACCACCTTCACCTAAACGCAAAGAATTCGAACCCAAAATCTGAAACACACCGGGCCTTTGCTAATTACAGTAGGCCGCTGGGGCGTCAAAACTCTGTGGGAGAAGGAGTCGATCAGGGTGCGTCGAATCGGGTGAAATGGGAGCCTAGAAATTCAGGGTTTTTGGGACTGATATGATGTGACGTTTGACGAAGAAGGGAAAGCATCGGAATGGTTAGTTGACTAGGCCAGTGGCTGTCGAGTAAAGGGGAATGATGGATTTTATTGTGTAGCTGTGGGTTTTGACGAGCCGTATGCAAATCCAAAAAATGTAAATTGATCGACTGTCGGCTCTAGCTCTATGGGTCTTCCTCGTTCTCTCGCTCTCTCTCTCTCTCTCTTTCTCTCTTTCTCTCTTTCGCTCTCTATCTCTCTCGTTAGCTCACTCTATTGATCACTCCCATTTGTCCCTCTCGCTCGCTCTATCTCTCTCAATCTTTCTCCGTATATCTCACTTTTTCTCTCCCTCTCCCTCTCTCACTCTCCCTCTCTCTCTCTAGCAATAACGAGTCCGTTAAGCAATAAGCCCGTTTATTCAAATTTGGCCCCAATCACACGAGGTGTTTTGAAAGTACAGATATTTTTCGATTGAAAGAATAGATGACGAATCGGCTCATTCTTCTGCGGGCGCTGCCGGCTGAGTCCTAGCCTGTTCCCGGAAGAATTCGTGCATTTTCTCGGCAATTTCGAGGACCTAGAAGATGAAGAATTACAGGAAAATGCAAAAAGCCTCACTTCCATCGTTTCCGGCCTTTGGTTCGGGTCAGAGACGATACATCTGGAGATTAGGTCGCGGAGCTGAAATGGGTGAACCTGTTGGAAAAGTGGGTGCTAATCCAGAAGTGCTGTTCGAGCCTAAGTCTTGGGTTTAGACTTAGGCCTTGCAAAGGCTTCGGCTTAAGCTTCGTTTGGGCTTGGGCTAGGCTTCCTCCGAGGCTTAGGCTTATAGTTAGGTATCTTTTGCCTAGGTCTATCCTTGGATTGGGTGAGGCTTAGGCTTAGGCTTATGCTTCTCGAATCATCGGCTCACCTGGCTCGTATAAATATCTGCCGGTAGTGGAGGGTATTCACAATTCTCAATCTTCTTGCACAACGAGTATAGATTCATCTTGTCGCCGTAGAATGGAGATTGCAGGGCCGCTAATTCATAGAGTAAGCACCCAAGTGACCAGAGGTCAGACTTGAAGTTGTACCCGGACTCTTGGATTCGCTCGGGGCTCTAGAAAATAAAATAGTGACTAAGATAGCATTAAAACCGTGAAAATCACAATGTCTAGTATATCAGAATTACCATGTAGTAAGGGGTCCCGACGAGCGAATGAGCAGCAGTTGTCTTGGATGAGAAAAATCGGCCTAGGCCCAAGTCTCCCAACTTGACGATACCTTCGCCGGTGATGAAGACGTTGGCTGGCTTGATGTCTGGAAAAATGACGTGCTGAAGAAAGAGCGAGAGCGAGCGAGAGAGAAGCAGAAAAAATAAAGTATGTGAATGGGCGAGCGAAGGAGAAGTACATAGAGAGCAAGTGAGAGACAGAAGCGCAAGAAAGAGCGAGAGAGAGAGAGAGAGAGAGAGAGAGAGCGAGATGGAGATTCCGAATTCCAACCAACCTCGATGCATAATCCTCTTCGAGTGCATATGTGCCAGTGCTCGAGCCACTTGCACAAAATATTTCCAGATTGTTCGCTCCGGGATGAGGCGACCGTTCTTTTTGAAGTGCTGTAAAAATTCGGATACCCTGAAGCCTAATTTTAAACCTTGATCATTCTGCTCATATCCCCAGCCTCTGCCAACTCCAACACGATGTTCAGCTGATTTTTGTCGATGAAAGAGGCGTAGTACCTATAACAAAACCTAAGATAGTATTAGAAAATTTATCGTCGTTTCCACATGAATCGCTGCTAGCCTATCATATCGTCAGAATTCTGATGCCGTACAACATAAAGTCCTGGAAAGTAGATAATTACAGCTGTTCTGTCCCTTTAATAGAGAATTTAAGCTATTTTCTTTTCTGCAAAAACCTCTCC